ATTCTTATACGTTTGTTTTTGCAGGTGATACAGTTTATTACTTTATAATATCATATTTTAGTGTAATAGTATTAGCAACGGTTCTTCTTTCAACTGAAGACAAAAATTGATTTTTAAACTTCTATTCTAATGGTCAATCAAAAATTGAGCACTTTGCCAAAAGTGGCCAAAAATACACATTGAACATTTTCTTTTTATATTATTATAATTTTTGAATTGAAAATATATAAAACCATCATGAAAATGTTTCATCATCTGACAGAATAAAGATCATGTTGATTAATATCATTGCGAAGAAAAGTGGACCAAGAAGGTTTAGTTTAAATATTAGATTGCAGAACAAATGTTTACCTTCGTGATGAATTTCATTTCTAAGATAAATTAAATTTCAGGTAAAATTTGAATTTTACTTCTTTCTACAGGAAAACGATGATACATCATTTCGGTCAGTTGCTCTTGGTCTTGGATATTTTAAATAAAGAAATAAACAAATGGAAATCTGCATGAAATGCAAATTTCATAATGCATGCAATTAATCACTTTATACTTTTATTTCTGCATGTTGGCAGTTATTAACTCTTTTCTTGGAAAAGTTCTATTTTTTCTCTGAAAGGTGGAAAGTGCCATTAAATTATTGCTGTATTTTATTAATGACTGCTTCATGTTTAACCATGGACGAAAGGCAATTTTAATTTTTCTTCAGAGTAATATTCATTGCATAAATAACGTACTCACCGGTTTAGCTGATTTCATGCTATAGCCATACACAAATTTTTGGAAAAAAATTAAACATTCTTTCAACGATAAGTTTTTTAAAGGTTATTTTTGTGTTAAATCATTTAATATTAATTTAAAAGACAATATCTATTCTTTCAATAAGCTATTCAACGTTAAAATTTCGTATTAAATAACTTTACATATATTACATTTTGGAAAAAAAATTGTATCTGTTCCATTCACAAACCTGAAAATACAAATTACTTAAAAAATGAAAAAAAAAGAGTAATTAAAGATTGAAAAGTTAGCAGTTTACAGGTACTGCTTGTATTATTTATTTTTCTTAACTTATTTCACCAAAAAGTGTCATATGAATTTTTTTTAAGTTTGAAGAATAACACGTTTATATTTAACATGGTATTATTTTACTTTGTAACTTTTTAAATGTACTATTTTTTATTGCAATATACAGATGAAATATCACTTAATGAATTTAGTATTTGAAACTCGGTAAATTCGCTATAATTTTTTAACGCTTTTAACTGTCTCTTTCATTATGTTTATGTAGCAAACCAAGTGATATTTACCATGTCGATAAAATGGCTGGATACTTTCAAGTCGTAATTTAATTAAAATCGAAAACAATTTTTTTTATCTGAAGCGTTTTCATCCAAATAAAGTACAAGAAATTCGGCTTTATTTCGATAGAAATTCATTCCAAATTTTAACAACCTCTCATGACATGCAGATTGATTCTTCAAATTAAATGTCAAAGAAGTAGAAAAACATGATTCATACTGGGAATAGGAATTATCTGAACGTCAATAAAATCATTGACTTTGTCAAAAAAGAAAAAGAAAAAAACAAGAGATCTACAAGAAAAACATATCGCCCCGCTTTCAACACTATTAAAGACTGAAATAGATGAAAGGGTTTTCAGATATTTATTGCTAGTAGCAATATAGCTTAGGAATTTCTTTAATTACATGTTTTACACGATACTATCATTTTACTTGATCAAATCAAAGGAAGCCCTTGTGACGTCACAATTGTAGAAATATGTAAAGAAATTATATGAGCTATATCTGATTTATAAAGCAATGAACATATAATTTAAGAAATGAATGTAATATTTTTTGCGCGTAGTGCATTGATGAAAACGTTTTCCGTTCAATTTTTTTTTCTTTGATACTTTGATCAAAGAAAAAATATTACATTGACATTTCTTATCATTTAATTATGATTTTAAATTAATAAAATGAAAATTTCTATCACTTTACAATGAAATTTACGCATCAAAAACAGTGCGTATGAATATATCACAATAACGTTAATGTTGCTGAAATTCAAAATGGCTTAGCCTACTTCCTAGGCCCAACAAAAAAAAAACTAAAACATTGTCGTGTCATTACCAACCTTCTCAAACAATCATTAACATTTATTTAACACAAAAAATTTACCTGTTGTGTTATTATATTTTGCTAAATCCCAATGGGTGTATTTTCCCCTATAAGTGTGTAAATGTGAAGGGAAGCTACTTAAATATCCTAACAGTTCTAGGCCCTACTTCAAGGTCAGAGAAATTTTTGGATTTCCTATTCGCTCCTTTTCATCTGAATTTTAATTCGAACATATAAATACGTATCACAACCTGTCAATGCTTTAAAATCTGAAAGAGTCTGTTGCCAACTGCAAACAATCATGCGGTGTCGTTTTTCTCGATCATTCGTTTCCTAAGAATTAACACATTAACGGCATTTTTGCAGCTTTAGTAGCATGAAAACATTTCTTCACAGTTCCATTGTTCATACCAGTTATCTCAAAGACATTCATTTAACATAAGAGTGCTGATTTCCTTCATTCTTTCCCATAACTGTAATGTTGTCATGCAGACGATTTTGGTTTGTTTAGCAAAGGGGGATAATTAAAAAAGAAATGAAAGTAGGAAATAAGTCAGAAACGTAACGAACAGGTTTCGAAATTCAGGAAAATGTCTATTAAAGTAAAAAAAAAAGCAACTATTTGATTATTCCTTCAAAAAGTAATTAATCTGGAAACGGGAAATATACATGTATTAAGACTAAAGACAACCAAAGTAGTTCCGGCTGCTTAGTGCAAGCGGACTCTAGATTTTATTGATGCAGTTATCAAAACAATCTTTAATCCAATTAGAATCAAGCATTTTATAGAAATTAAATGATAAACGTACTATTGTCATATTTAACAAGCTAGCTAAGACTAGGAAAACAAGAACACAAACACACAAGATTTTAAAAGTATTTATGTGATGGAAGCTAAATGGAAACCTTTGATGAAAAACAAATGAATGCAACAGTGATTGTTTGATTGTTTTATTTTCTCTCAAACTATATCAAAATAGGCTTTACTTGATAATAATTTCCATGTATTTTTAGTTTAGAAAACATGTTCAACTATAATTTCGTTGCAAGGGGTGGTGCACCAAGAAGATGCCAATTTAAAACATGATTGCAGAAGACTAATTGTCCATTACATTGATATGAACATTGTAATTAAAAGTTGAATTTTAAGTTTTCTTCTTTATACCGGTTGAAAACGACGATATATTATTTTGATAAATTTCTCCTAGTAGTTGATATTCTAAATAAGGTAACAAACCATTAAAATACAGCATCAAATGTGAATGACATAATGCATGTTGCAAATTATTTATTAATTTCTGCATGTTGGCTGTTATTGTGTCATTTCTTGGAAAATTATTTTTCCTGCAAGAAAAAAAGCTGACATTATTTTTTTTTACATCATTAAAGATACATATGTAGAATATTACAAATAAAAATAACTCTACTATACCCTTCAAATCATTGATCTTTTAATCATTATTAAATCTAATTATCAGGTAATCAAGCTTCCTTACTTCATGACTGGTCGGCAGGGAGTACCCAATCCTCCATGGCACAGCTTTCCACCTCTGATTTTTCGGAGGCCCATGCTTGCTTTGCTCCAATGTTGTATTGTTTTCTGGACTTTTGTTCTTGAATACTGTTCGATATCTCCATATGTTTCATTAATATGAGGATAATTTACATGTTAAAGTTAAACGTACAGTATATAAGTAATATTTTATGGTCTTTTAGTACATATAAAGTCTTTTAGAAATATTTTTTACGCACAAATATATATTATGTATTTTTTAAAAAGAAATCTGTTCTCCATTTTTTATACTTGCATTTTATATGAAGCGCACTAGAGTGCCTTTATTATAATGCGCTATAGAAGTTACTGCATTGTATTGTATTATTATAAAATATAATAAAATCTCGTATTAAGATATGATGGAGGAGTGAGCATCCCCTGCCGACAAGTCACACACGGCTTTGATTTTATACACCTTCATTTGCATGGACTTTAAATCCCTCAGGTGATGGTTCTCTGGTCAATAAAATGGCCTTGTCAGCAAATACAATTTACCTTTGAGTCAAATGCTGACTGACGGTTTTCATACTATAATTGTTAGTCCATTAATTATACACTGGATGACGACGTATTTTTCTTATATTCCCGGTCATGAAAAGAAACACAAAGCGGGTGTGAACGGTTGGCAGGTGATACTCATTCCCCCATGGCACCTGATCCCACCTCTGATGTTAAGATGTCCGTTTTCGTTCTGCTCCTGATTTGTTTTTTTTACAAATACTTTTTTAAATCTCCACATATATCATTCAATTTGTTTAATGCATCTGTTATTATCTAACGAAATAAACATAAATAATTATACTAGTATTACAATAGGTAATTTTTAATACATTATTTGAAATATATGAAGCAGAAGTGCATGAAATACATATTTTTTTTATAGAAAAAAAGATTAATTCTATTTTATCGTTAAAGTAAGCGATAAATTTATTTATTTTCCTTTCTTTTTTCGTACGCATTTAAAAACAATTTTTTTAAGTCTGTTTTTTTTCTCTTTATTTTTCACAATTTATTGTGAACATCGTTTCCTTTGAATGATATATTTCCTCTTCTTAATCTTCACTGTCTAAAAAGTAAAAAAAAAGGATTTCTTTCCAGTATCTTAAATATGTGATGTTGGCATAATTTGTTTTATGTGCATTATAATGCACAAAACAAAATATCCAATGGCTAAACATTCATTTTGCACGTTAAGAATAAAACTAGAATGATTGGATGCATCAAATAAGCATCTGTCAGTTTTCTGACAGCAATATTTTTTTCTCGCTAATTTACTCCAAGACCCTCTATATATAAGTGTTAAAAATCTTAGACTTTGCAAGACAACCACAAACTTGGTTTAACCGATTTTCCTGGTAAGTCTATTCCCATTTTTAATATTTACAAGTTATAGTTTTGTTATATGCATTGATCTATATTTACTTATGATTTTTGTATTGTTTTTTTCTTATTTTCAATACGGATTTTATTGGGTTTTTTTTTTTTACTTTCTTTATCATCAATTTCATTATAAGCATTATCAAGAACATAATCATTTCTATATGTCAATTAACATTTATTGGAATTCATTTCTATTCGTGGCGTTCCATGTTAATAAAAAAGCAATTTTTTGCTCCTCAGGACTTAATTTTGTTCATTAATGTAAAACGTCTACATTGAAAATATTTAATGAATTATTGTTTTAAAATTTGTTGCTCGTGTGTGTGTTTTGGGGGTGGGTGGGTTCGATGTTCAGAAATACGAAAGGTGATAAATCCTGAACAAACAAAACTATATACAATATTAATCGTTCATCATTTCAAATATTTCAGTAGTAGTATTTCAGTTTTGAAGTAAAACTGCATATGATACCCTAAAATTCCAAAAATATTCGATAAACAATTCTGTGATTGAAGTACTTACACAGTTATATATGCTAATAAAGTACTATAAAGTACAATGAAGTACAATGAAGTTGCACTGATTCCTTCTGGCAAACTTGTGTTGTTATTCCTGAATAAATAATATCTTAATTCATTTGCACTTCAATGTAAGAACTGCTTACATTTGCAGATTGAGAGGTCAATTGATTCAACAACAAGATGAGGGCTTTCTTTGTACTGTTGATAGTCTGCCTGATCCATATGGCAGCCTGTAATAATGGTAAGTCCTTTTTGTTATTAAAACATTTTTAAAGTTTGTCTTAAAACATTCATCATTGCTTTAAAACTGTCTGTCTGAAGCTTGTAGAAAAAATTAAATACATTGTTAATCATCTCTTATGTTTATCTGCAGAGTGAAATTTAACAAAATTTTAATAAATAAATGGAAGATCATTAACATCTAAGTATATTATTTAAAATAAACTAAACTTTTTAATCATATTTCAATGATTTAATGAAATGTGCATAACTTTACAGGACCATACACCGAACCTGAGGCTGAATCTGAAGGCAATAACGAAGTTATAGTCCAGAAGGGCGATACCGACGACAATGGCGATCACGGCGATAATGGCAATGGTGACAATGGTGATAACGGCGATAACGGCGACAATGGTGATAACGGCGATGACGACGATAATGGTGATAACGGAGATAACGGCGATAATGGCGATAACGGCGATAAAGGAAAAGGGAAAAACGGTAATGGTGGACGAAGACGATAATTGCAGAGAACGAAATGACTTTGAATCTGATTTGAATTGAACAATGAGACAAGTGTCCTGTAAAACTAAAAATATTGAAAGTTAATCACCAATACACTCTTCTCTGCTTCTTTGAATTGAACTATGAGACTAGTGTACTCTAAAACCACACATATATCAAGAATAAATTATCAATAGACTGATGTTTGTTTTTTGTATTTTTTTATATAGCTTTCATTTTTTATGCACCCGGATGGATAGATCAGGGGCGTATATTGTTTTTTTCCTGTCCTGTCTGTCTGTTTATCTGCAAACTTTATCCTTCGGCATAACTTTTCAACCATTAAAGATAAAGACTTCATGTTTTGTGTACATATTTCACTAATTAAGCTCTTTCAAATGTGTGGCCTTGACTGTTACCTTTATGCCTAAAATATCATTTTTGAACTTTGTTGCCACCAGGCGCATAGTGTTTCACAAACACATCTTGTTTTAAATATTTTTAATACTGAAATAAACAGAAAAAGTCGTTAACCATACACAACTGGTTTATATACTCAACCAGAAAAAAAAGCATATTGTTTTACTCTTCAAAGAAATTTTGAAAAAGTATATGGAGCAACTACTTTTTTATCATTGGACGCCTGTGATCTATTTAAAAGAAAACATGGGGTTTTAAAACCCAAGTGTTGAATAATTCCCTTTATATTTCCATTTCCAATTGTTTTCCCTATGATAAACACTACGAAAGTGAATCTTGTTAATTTCTCCGTGATTCCTGTGGCATGTAAATTTCTCTATTGAAATACTACTGAAAGGTCAAATGTCAACCTGCATGTATATATCACTGGCGTATAATATAGTAAAGGAAAATATGTTTTTTTTTATTGTTTACTAAGTAATTAGATATGATATATCGTTTAACAAACAAAATGAATAATGAATCATCTTCGGATCAAAAGCAAGTCACTAGCTCAACGCTATCCACTTTCACTTTCACCGAGGCCTCGCAAGACCGAGAACCCCACTTCCGTAAACATGGTAAACAGCCCATCTGAACCACGTAGAAAAATCGGCATTGACACATAGATCTGCTCTCCATCATCTGATACAGACATATCGTCCCTCAGTCATTACCATCCGACTTCTTAAGCAACTCAACTTCCTAGATGCTGTTTTAAAATCCACACGAATCTGTTTCCTAACCAAGCTGACCAACTCCCGTTTCATTAACTGCAACATTGCATTTAATATGGCGGCGGAGAAGTGACCTAGGAAGTGACAAGATTGCTTTGATCATTATTTAAAATTCTTTTGTTGTTTATTTTGTAAATGTTGATATTTGACTACAGTAACTAAATAATCAATAAATTTGTTTCGTGTTTTTATGGGACTATTTTTTAATGATTTAATTTTGTTTGTATTCTAGTCTCTCATTGGTTGATTTCCAAAAAGGAACGCAAATTATTTCTTAATAACCTGGTTTAGTATGGGGACACATCTCCTTGACAACCAGCTGAATCATCTGTATCCATGCAATCCCCTCATTTCCAGTCCTTGGGATTCATGGAAATTTCCAGACATAATAAATGTACCTTTAACTTCAAACAGTAGCTCCATCTTACCTCATTTAAACAAACATTATGGCTGCTAGATCTGTGTATAAGTTATTACCTCCCCTTGTTAACCATGACTTCCGTTACTAGGGATGTATTATTGAGCGGCAAATTTAAACTCGTAAAAAGCAGCATGATTTTACACCCACAGTTGTTTAATCAGTTTAAAATAAGATAATAAGGAATGACTCTAATTCTTGTCCAAATTATTCGTGTATAACCTGGTTTGGGTCAGTTTACGCTTTTTTATAATCCGCGAAAGCGTAAACTGGCTTAAATCAGGTTATGTCGAATAATAAGAATTAGAGTCATTCCTTAATAGTAAAATTTGACGTCATGGGGACTCGTACATTTCAAATCTACTAATTTTCTATGTATTTTAAGATTGTTATTATAAGTAAAAATGGAAATATAATGAATCACTGTCTCATTAGGAGAGTATACCATGGACATCAACAATAGTAGGAAACAAGGGATTCTTTTAGCATAAGGGGATTCGCCCGTTATGCAAATTATCCCATGTTTCCCACTATTGTTTATGCCCTGGCATACTCTCCTAACTAGACAGTGATTCCTTAAATTAATCATGTTTATGAAAATAGTGTTTTGCATGATTTCTTGTAAATCTGGGGTCTATTTTCATATACATTTTGGATTTAGAGAAACAATAAATATTCCTATTAATCCCATATTAAAGATTTGATTGCAATGTAGATGCTGCAATGTCACGCCTTAACAAAGATGAACGCAACACGGGCTAACTATGAGGATTACCGAAGCTACGCAACAGGAGGTTCAACTACATTTAGTGTACATCAATCGGCTTTGCAGCGGTTAAACTAGGTCTCCTAAAGCTAAGAACACGGGTGACAGACCAAGAACTGGTCGGGAACGGGTTACCACACCCAGACAGAACCGTCAGATCCCCTTTCAGCAATCGATTGAGAACTGCCCCACAAACTGCTGCTACAATTGCTGGTTGAAGAAATCAGCATAAAAGTGCTCAAGTTGTACACAAGCGACTGAGAGGAGCTGGTAGCTAGTCGTTCACGACATCTGTACATTGGAAACGCACTAGCGTTGAGGCATTGCAAAGTACATATTGTTATGCCCCTTGAATTTTGGGGCGATGAAAATGACATTAACCTAACTTTTCAATTCGCAACATGGTGCATGTTTGATTTTTATCACAACACACTCTAGAATCACTTTAAAAAATAGGGTTTAAACTGAAAACTTAGATAACCATGTATAATCTGAATATACGTTTTTTCTTTTATTTTTGATATGAAGCAGAATTTATTTAATTAAACATACGCGAGATGCAAGAAAATCTTTCATGTGGCCTTCAGGTCGACATTTAGATATATCGACGATATATACTGATGGAAATTAATGTGGGAGCGCATATAATAATGGTGCAATTTGCTTTAGCGTTAGTGAATTTCGATCAATTATACTTCATTTAATATATGCATCCTAGGTGAAATTTTAGTATTTGATGTATCCTCCTTGCTTCCTGATAATTTTTCAATGTTTCGTTGAACAACCTGTATCTACTTTAATATCTCAGCTCGAGCAATAGTACACAAATCTCCTTAAGCAGCTTAGAACAAAACATCATCTGTCTCATATGGCGCATCAAGATCCCTCAATCCCTGTCCAAGAACATATTCCAGAGGTGTTCTTAAGGTACTTGTTTACTCAGAAGGAAAAAAAAATCTACTGATGATAATTAAAACCCATCTATTAAATCAGCAAGACACACGTATGTATTGACAAAATCTACTTTAAAACATGTAGGTCAATGACCTACTTTTTTTGCTATTAGCCAATGAAATTAAAGCATGAATTCGCCATTGTAGATAGGGATTTTTTAAGGTTACTTCAATCTTTTACTATAATTTTTCTTGCGGGCATGCAAGTGAAATATTCTACCATATCAATTTATAAATTAAGGTGTTATCTTAAAAATAACAACAAAATTATTACAGAAATCAATCACGTTTTTATTTTCTGTAACCCGAATTTCCTCTGTTTCATGACATTTTATGCATGTAAATAAGCCTGATTTCATTCAAATATTCTAAAAATTTGACTGATGATAACTCTTATTGGTTGTTTCATACATACAGAAAACATCTTATAAGAAATAAAAATTAATCACAAAGTGGGTGTCAATGATCAAAATTTTGAGATATTTTGTTACAAATAACCTGAATTTCCTCCGTTTCATGACATTTTCTGCACATAAATAAACCTTTTTCATTCAAATATTCTAAAAAATTGACTGATGGTAACTCTTATTGGATGTTGTATACAAACAGAGAACATCTTATAAGAAATAAAAATTAGTCACAAAGTGGGTGTCAATGATCAAAATTTTGAGATATTTTGTAATAAATAACCTGAATTTCCTCCGGTTCTCGACATTTTATGCATATAAATATAGCTGTTTTCATTCAAATATTCTAAAAATTTGACTGATGATATCTGTTATTGGTTGATTTATACATATAGAAAGTACCCTATAAGATATAAAAATGAAACATAAAGTGGGTGTCAATGATCAAAATTTTGAGATATTTTGTTACCAATAACCTGAATTTCCTCTGTTTCATAACATTTTAATGCATAAAAATGAACCTTTTTTCATTCAAATATTCTAAAAATTTGACTGATGAAAACTCTTATCGGTTGATTTATACATATAGAAAGCATTCTATAGGAAACAAGAATGAAACATAAAGTGGGTGTCAACTGATTAAAATTTTGAGATATTTTGTTACAAATAACCTGAATTTCCTCTGTTTCATAACATTTTATTATTATTAAACCTATCAGAACTTCTAGATTGTGCTTTTCTGAGACAATCAAAGTTTAGGCCACTACTGGTTACCTTCCTTGCCATTCTGACACTCGGAAGATTTTTATCAATCAAACATTGAAAGAATGGTATGTTTTTATCTACAACTTTCTGGTAGTTACATGTATGGACACTCAAAGCATACTGAAATGTAAATGTACAAGATGAATGTTCATCATCATAAAAATGAACAGTGTCATATAAACTTTTCAAAGCTGAAACATCTTCTACAGTATCATGTGCATTGTAAGTACATTTTAGTAACACTTCTGATAAATATTGCCGGTTATATGAACACAAACTGGGATGGACAAGTTTGAATAGAAATCTGGTAATATCTCAAAAAAAAAAACCTTGTACACATTTGACACTCGATAAAACAGTGA